AGAAAAACTGTTAAAACACTGTAAACCCACTACACTTGTGCTGTTTATAAAGCATATACAATCACAATAAATTTGTTATTCATATATTTTATAACACTTCATTGAACAATATTTTACTAAGTCTATACATGACCACCATCATCATTGAAATGCAAACAAAAACATCCCATTTTAATTATTGTTATACATGCTGTACCTTTTCACACTGATATAGAGCATTTGCACAGCCACCATGTTGGTGTTCCAATTCAAAATAATTTTAATTAGACTCTTGTCTGGAACACCAACATGGCCGCCATGGCTTTTGTTGAGTTGGCCCGTGGGGAATGAGTGCAAACGCTCTATACAACAAGGTCTGAATCTTCAGACACTGCAAAACCGCAGCCTCAAATCAAAGCGCCTGGGGACGAGGCTGGCAAAACCAGCATATCCATTATTCACAATAAATACAATTTGTGCATCTGCTTCGTATGGTGTCATTATGTACTGAATTGAATATCTTTTTCACAGCAAAGCTGAAAGGTGGATAATAACAAATTGTTATTTACTGCACACAACTAGTTTCCAATTTACTCTCTATAATTTTTTATGCATTTGTACATAAAAGGGGTGTCATTTAAAAACAGGAATTTGAATTTTGCAAAACAAATTGATCAAACGTCTGATTAGCAAGGCATTGGCATGGATTATAAATTGTTGTGTATGGAATGAAAAGTTATCCATGGAAGTCGAGACAAACATGTAAACACATGGACAAAAGTTGTCCCTCCTACAAGGGTAACCCTGTTTCGTAAACAGGGTGTCCCTACTGCCAGGGTGACCCTACCAGCCCAGACGAGTTGAAAACTTTCCATATAAACACTTGCGTTTAAATGTTATATAATGAACATAATTTTGCCTCTCCCAGGGTAGCTCGGAGGGTAGAGAGAGTCCCTAGTACCCGAGATCATATAAACAGCACCTCAGTCACATTATTATCCCCTACCCCTCAACATCTCTATTCAATGTTGCATAATATTTACAATATTTGTGACCATACCAAAAGTTGAATTGGCATGGCATACAAAAATGTGAAGATTATGATTTTCATCCCATAGTTTTTAGGTAAGATTGTGTAGTCAAACTATAGAAATTGTGACCTATGATGGCATTGGAAGTACTAAAATGATGGGCAAATTCTATTAAAGCATAACTAAAATTACATGGAATTTTACAGTAGCTTGTATATTATATATGTATTCGTTTAAATAATATAATATTGCAGAAAAGTTTCCGTGTCTATGCATACTTTTACCGTATGTCCACAACCCTGAAACATTTGCATAATAATTATAATAACAATACAGTGATAAGAACAATAAAGTAAATAGAATATACATAAGTTTAGCGATTGAAACACTGCACAAACCAATAGTATAAAGTAAACATATAAATAAATTAAAACAAACATACTTGCGATCATCGCCAAACCTTTGAAACTCACAGCCAACGATTTGTGCAGTCAGCAGGATGCATCGACTGCACAAACTTTTTCAGAAGTTCTTTGACATGTACTGCCACTGTTGATTCTTTCAAGAAGGGCAAAAGACAATTTTATATACCCATCGATCGGCCGTGCACATTGTTCTCACCTCGAACGTCAGAACGCTAATGAGTGAATTTTTTATTTTACTCATGAACTATTGCGGTCGTAGTGCGATCACCGCCTGGTCAGTAAACAAAACAAAGAATGAACATCGTTGTAGCACTATATTACGAAGTAAAACATGCGTCGTAATTGCGCGGCGATTCTTTTTGTCTGTTTTGATATGACTGCATGTGACGCACTTAGTTTATTTAGCCACCGCACTTCATTATGAAATGCCCGCAGACAGAGAAGGAAACCACGGCACACAAAGCAGATTGCGCTGAATTCAGCAGCAATTGTGCGCTAATTAGAGTGCAGTGTATAATGCAATTCAACATTGCCAGTGCTATATAGACTTTCGGGCTTTTGACATTGCTATATTATAAAAAAAATATAAAACATTTTTTCCGTATTGATATATAGTTATATCAACACTCATGGAAGCTGGGAAAACTCGAAATTGTTTGAAAACACTCCGCCCTTCGGCGGAAGCCCTATAGAAAACCAGACAATACCCCACTCTACATCAACGTACAATCAAACCACCCGCCACCAATCATTATAGACAAGCACTTACATCAATTATAGTCAACGAATTTCCGATCTGTCATGCAATGCCGAGGAGTGCCATAAAGCAGCCCCGATTTACAACAAAGCCCTTAATTAAAGACAGCGGTTTTGATGGTCAATTAAAATACTTGCCCAGACCAACACTGCAAAATCCACGCAAAAATAGAGCGCGGAACGTTATTTGGTTTAACACACCATACTCAGCAAATGTGCTAACAAATGTCGGCAGAGGAGTTTTGGAACTTGTTGACAAGCATTTCCCACCTAGCAACACTTTAAGAAAAATCTTTAACCGAAATACAATACAAATAAGCTATAGTTGCATGGATAGCATGGCTAGCATAATTAAAGAACATAACAAAAAAGTTTTGAACAACGAGAAAGCAAGCAGCGCCGGATGCAATATTGTAGAAACAAAAATAACTGCCCATTAGATAAGCAATGTTTAACAACAGCTACAATATACCAAGCGAAAATCTTTGAACCAGGAAAAGACGACGACCCTAAGGTTTACGTCGGCATGGCGGAATCGGAATTCAACACGAGGTTTTACAACCATACCCTATCATTTAAGAACAAAGACTATGCAAACAAAACAGCGCTATCGAAATTCATTTGGGGCCTGAAGAAAACAACAATAGGTTTTAATTGTAATTGTGTAAAGATTTATGCTAATTTTAAATAGTTTAAAACAGGTATAAATAAGAACGTTTTAATACGTACAGATCGCCAATATAGGCGTGAAACTCGAGTAAATGAACTTAGCTCTAATTTTTTAATTTTTTCAAATTAGTTGAATTTCACATTCCAATATATATATATGTATATATATATATATATATATATATATATATATATATATATATATATATATATATATATATATATATATATATATATATATATATATATATATACTTACATACCTGTGTTTTAATTTTTACAGATGTAGAGGTTTTACAACCATACCCTATCATTTAAGAACAAAGACTATGCAAACAAAACAGCGCTATCGAAATTCATTTGGGACCTGAAGAAAACAATAATAGGTTTTAATTGTAATTATGTAAAGATTTATGCTAATTTTAAATAGTTTAAAACAGGTATAAATAAGAACGTATATATATATATATATATAAGAAAACAATAATAGGTTTTAATTGTAATTATGTAAAGATTTATGCTAATTTTAAATAGTTTAAAACAGGTATAAATAAGAACGTATATATATATATATATATATATATATATATATATATATATATATATATATATATATATATATATATATATATATATATATATATATATATAAATATATGTATATACCTACATACCTGTGTTTTAAATTTTACAGATGTAGATGAATGTTCCCGAGGTTTGGACAATTGCGACAGCAATTCTGAATGTAGTAACACTATTGGCAGTTTTTCGTGCATATGCAACCATGGTTTTACCGGAAATGGTGTGACTTGCGATGGTAGGCAATGCAATCTTGTTATTACGGGCAACTCAATATTGCAATCAGCAATCACTTTGTATTCTTTTCTTCACTTCTTATATTTCTTTGTAGACATTGATGAATGTTCTCTATCTATTGACAACTGTCGACATCAAAGCCGAAGCTGTATCAACATTGATGGATCTTTTTTGTGTAGTTGCGGTAGTGGATATTCTTGGAATGGGACGGCTTGTGAGGGTAAAAGATTGCAGTAGGCTACACCACATAAAAAGCCAATTTTCAATATTTTCAATAGATTAAATACCATTTCTGATACACCCTATAATATGATACATTTTGAGACATCCTTCCTGTGGAGTTTCGTTTTGAAGTATCTTTGCTTTATCGACATTAATTAATAGACTTTTTTTGATTTTCATAATTTCGCAGGATTGTATAAATATCTGTTCGCATGCAGTTCGCCCAGGTAATGCTATATATAGTAATATTGGATTTTATTGCCTTCATTCACTTATGTATATTGCTGTGAATTTTTACAGGGATATCTGTCAGGCTGCAAGGACCATCAAGTGACACTGGCACTGGCCGTGTTGAAGTCTTTTACGGAGGGCAATGGGGAACTATCTGCGATGATTATTGGGATAGAGATAATGCTGCAGTTGTATGCCGTCAACTTGGTTATCTAAATGCTGTTCGAGCTCTCCGTGGCTATAATGTTCCTGATGGTTCTGGAAAGATTTGGTTAAGGGATGTACATTGTAACGGGAATGAACAAAACTTGACCAGCTGTTTACATGGCAGATGGGGAAATCATAATTGCGGACACGATGACGACGCAGGGGTCGTATGTTCTTCAACAGGTAAGTTTACGAAAAATAAATACTTTATGCACCAGAAATATATGAGTGTTTCTTTTCTCGATGTATACCTTGTGTACAATATCTTAATCCTATTTGCTCTGGGGGTGTGCACAATTTGCGCGCCCCTATAATTTTGTGTCGGTCGACATCTGGCAGAAGTGATTCTATTTACTTACTTGAGCTTTTATGACTTTTAATATTTTTCTTCTGCGGTCATGACTGTGAAAAGAAATTTCAGAAAATTCAAAGATGTACGTACTTTTGACGACATCCGTCAAAGAAGGCGCCAATGATAAACAATGAAAACAAAACTGAGTTGGTCATTTATAACAGTATTTTTAGGCTGAATCACTTCCAAGGATAGTTATAGCTTCCAAGGATAGTTTACTTCCAAAGATAGTAAAAAAAAACATGGTGGCTTAACGTGACGTGACGAGCAAAGTGACCTCTGTTTTATTTGTGGTTAAAGTATTCATTTGTCAGTCTTTGCTAATTCTCTACTTATCAAAATAAAGCTAAAGGTCTGCTCGAAGTTCTTCAACGCATTTTAGAATTGGTTTAAATTATAATAGGTTTTGTTTGTGGAAACACCACGTAAATAATTAAATTAAAATTATAATAGGTTTTGTTTGTGTTTGTCCACAAACAAGACCTATTATATTTTATCACCATGCAAACATACAAAGAACTTATTGGTTTAAATAAATCGAAAGAAATTATTTTGTATTTTTTATTGTAGCCTTATATCATATTTGTTGTGTCGCTCGCTATAATCTGGGTTTTTGGTTTACGCTAACAATATCTTTGTTGTCATAGTTGCTGCTATTCCTCTGAAACTTTAACATTGGACTGTTATGTGTGTTGCTGTTCTCGTGTGTGAATTTCGTTTCATTTAGATGTACTGCATGTTCGTGATTTATTGTCCTTTTTATTATTTTGACCGTTTGGTCTTTCAAATTTAAAATTTTGGTCGTCGTGTTTCTTAGCAACAACCTAGCTATTGGGATTACTGTGTATGATAGCTAATCTACTTGACCTTTGACTCCAACTCAACAACTGGTGATTAACCATTATTACGCTGATCCTAAGTAATATGGCATTAAGTGATCACTTTTGGCAGACACTTCTACTTATTCTCCTGTTCAACCAATCGATATATGTTGTAAAAATAGCTGTGAAAGAAACACTACTTGTCAAAAAGTTTAATGAACGTGCATTTCTCTCAGTTGGTCTCTGATGTAACTCGACCTTCAAGTGGTACTTGTTTAGATGACATCTACTGTCTATACTAACAAATGTCAGCATACACCGCAGCACTAGTGGAAAACGGCTATGCTCTTTCTGATCAGCTACCAACGTTTGTTGTTCATAAATATTTCATGATGTTCTCGCCACATGGGAAGGTATATTTTTTCAAGCGATCGACCAACATATATGCCCCAACAAAACCAAAACGAATTGCCAAGACTAAGCATCCTCAGTGGATTAATAGCGACATCCTTAATCAGTTAAAGATTAGAGATAACCTGCTTTCAAAAGCTAGAAAATCTGAAACTAATTCAACCAATTCATGGAAACAATACCGTATCGCAAGAAATTTAGCTTCAAACATGATCGAAAAAGCTAGCTAAAGAAATTATTTCAAATCTTCCATTCAAAATAACAAAAGCAACGTAAAGTCCATTTGGAAATTGATTAAATCTCTTGGAGGTAATAATAAGCCATCGCGCCTGCCAGAATACCTCATTGGTGAATGCAATAAAGCGTTAAGGAATAGTTGTGAAATAGCCGAAGCTTTCAATATTCACTTTACATCAATCGCCAGTAAAATCAAATCCTCGTTCTCTCCTGTCAATAACTTTGATCTAAGTAAGTTAAAACAGTTCGTAAAATTGAAGTTGTCACCTGACAAATCTGCGTTCAGCTTACCACCCATCACATGTGAGTTTGTTGAAAACTACGTGTTGAAGATACCATCTAGTAAAGCAACTGGAGCTGATGGCATTAGTGTGAAACTGCTTCAAGCAGGGATCAAGGAGTTGGCACTATCAATATCTAGCTTAATCAATATGTCTTTCGGACTAGTAGGCTAATCAATTTCTCTCAAGATGGAAAATGGCTAGAGTCACTGCGCTATTTAAGGCTGGCGAAATTTCTGATCTTAACAACCATCGACCTATCTCTATTTTATTTCTGCTTTCAAAGATCATTGAACGACATGTACACGACTGTCTGTTTTACTATGTCACTATAAATAATCTGATATACTCCAACCAATATACTAAAACCCATGGCTCATATACTCTGTTGCACTTTTCTGTCTTACACCGCAAGACAGTTGCGCTTCGTGGGGACTGTATACTAGCTATCAGAACAATACCATCGGAAATAGAACACACACGCGTACTTTAAAACATATTTATATAAACTATTCAAACGATAAAATATATAACATAACATAACAATCCTTCTGGTTTTCTCTCGTGCGTTCAGTCTGACAATCAACTCGAAGTATACTATTTATGACATATGATACATTTCTTACGTCAATCACTAAATCAACTATTGTTTGGTCTTCTACGGCGTTACCAGTAGTATAGTGTTACAAATTATTCTACACACTTCCCCCTTTGAGCCTGTAAGGGTCAAACATGACTTGTGTTCTCCAATGTGCATCCAAAGCTGCTGCTCTCCTACTGCGCACACAGCTTTCCACCTTACACTTCTCTCCGTCTTTCCCATTCATTTCCGTCTTTCCTTCCTTCCTCACTAATTTTCGTCCGTCCTTTCTGGTTATCATGCCCATCCACTTCATTTTCAACTTTATTATCCTTTCTTTCTTCCGTACTGCTTCCGTTCTCATTTAACTCTACAGGATACAATTTCTGAACTGGTCTATTAAGATATACTGGATTTCCTTTAGTCATCACTCTCACTTTCGCTCCTCGAACCACTTCATCTTTACCGACAATTAAACTCTCAATCCTACCTAACTTCCAAAATCCTCTCTTAAGGTTCTCGTCAAATACTAAAACTACATCTCCCTTCTTCACTTTACTATCCCTCTTCTCCCTTTTACTTCTATGATGCTCTCTCAAATTTGTCAAGTATTCTTTTCTCCATATCTCGCTCTCCCAAAAGTGAACTCGCAGTTTCGCTAGATGCCTAAACCTCCGCTTAACCTTTGTTGCATCATTCTCTTCACTTTTGCAACTAGTCTCGTCTGGAAATAAACTCAATCTACGACCAAAGATCAAATGATTCGGTGTTAGCACATAGTTTTCAACCTCATCGTAAATGTAGGTTAACGGTCTAGAATTCAACGTGCCTTCAACCTCAATTAAAGTCGTCAACAGTTCTTCGAATGTCAACTTGGCATTCCCCAGCACCGTACGTAAACACCTCTTCACTAAACCAACCAGCCTTTCAAAGAATCGTCCCCACCAAGGCGCTCTCTCTTAATTAAACTGCCATTTCACCCAATTATCTTGCAGATAAGCTCTCACATTCCCGCTCTCGTACAACTTCTTCACTGCTTTCTTTGCTGCCTTAAATGTTTTAGCATTGTCTGAAACAATAAGCGTCGGTGCCCCTCGCCTGCTTGCAAACATCCTCAAACAGTTCAAAAACTAGACACACTAAGATTTCTTACTAAATCCAAGTGAACTGCCCTCGTGACACAGCACGAGAACAACGCTATGTACACCTTCACCATTTCACCATCTTCCCTTTCATACAACGGCCCTGCAAGTCAACCCCAACTTTAGCAAATGGTGGTGACTCCCACACCCTGAAGTCCGGTAAACCTCCCTCATCAGGTTTTCCATAAGGCTTACCCTCAAGTCTCTTACAGCCAACACACTTACCGATGACCTTCTTCACTATTTGATGTCCTCGTGGTACCCAATACTTACCTCTCAATTCTGCCAGAGTAGCGGTGAGCCCGCAATGATGAACTCGTTTATGGCATGCGGATATAATCAACTCTGTTTTAGCCAATGCTCCTTCGGGAGAATAATTGGTTCCCTAGCTGCTTCCTCAAAATCTGAATTAGAGCGCCTACCTTTGCATTTAAAAATTCCATCTCTATCAACCAAACCTAACTGCTTTACTAAATGCTGGAAATCTTTCTTATTCCTCAAACTGACTTGAGCATCCTTGATCAATGCACTCTCTGCATATCTTATCTCCTCTACTGTCAAATTACCTAAATAAATTTCCCTATCTTGTGATTTTGCCTTTACATTCTGCACAAATCTCATTACCCAAGATGTTACCCTTATTAACCCATTAAGCTTACTATATGCCTTAACATTAATTACATTCCCTAAGCTGGCTGATTCACTATGAACCTGCACTGTCATTGTGACCGACTTCTTAACTTCCTTCAAACTATCTTCTGTTTCTATAATCTCTGTAGCAACAGGCCAGTCTACTTGACGACCTAACAACCAATTGGGACCCTTCCACCAAAGTGCACTCTCCTTCAATCCGGATGGGGATACCCCTCTTGATCCTAGATCTGCGGGGTTTTCTAGACCAGGGCAATGTCCCCACTCTCGCTTTTTACTCAGTCTTAAAATTTCGTTAACCCTATGTCTGATGAATTGTTTCCACTCGCCCTGGTTATTGATCCAGCACAGTGCTGTCTTGCTGTCGAGCCAATAGTAGGTGTTGCTTATCTCGACATCAATTGAAAGTGCTGATCTAACTGTATCCATCAACCTAGCTAGAATTAATCCAGACATCAGTTCTAACCTAGGAATAGTTTGTGCGTTAATTGGTGCTACCCTAGTCTTTGAAGTAAGAAGTTCAACTTGATAATTACCACTTAACTCGCAGCCATAATACACAACTGCACAATAGGCTTTCAAATTAGCATCACCAAACCCATGTAATGAACATTTGGGTTTTCCAAATAGATTTCCATACACACACCTTGGTATCATAATTTGACTTACAACTTCAAGATCATGAACCCAACCTAACCATTGCTTCAAATATTTTCCTTTTAGTTCAGAATCCAAATCTACTTTGTCCAAACACAGTGCTTGAAACAACATCTTAATACTTACTACCATTGGGCTAAGAATTCCCAATGGATCAAACAACCAAACTAATATTATACGAATATTGCGTTTGGTAACAGGTTGCGATTTTGTTTTCTCAACTAAACCCTGAAACAAAAACTGAAACTCATCAGTTGTACAATTCCAAGCTAGCCCAAGGACTTTCTCTGATGTGTCATTTTTGCCTGTCATGCAAAGGGATGACTTAGCAAATGTTTCTTCACATGCCAAGTTTCCTCTATCAGGCTTGATTTCTTCCTTTGATTGGATTTTCTCTAATACAGTTTTACTGTTACTAAGCCATTTCTTAAGCTTGAACCCCCCAGAAGCTAAATTGTTACTAGAAGCCTCATAATTATAATGATAATGCATGCTCAGGGGTTTGTTCTCCAGTTACCAGGTCATCAACACAAAAGCTGTCCTTCAACTTTCGAGTTAATTCGGGATTACCCTTCGAAAAGCGGTCAAGATGGTGTTGAAGCTAAGTGTGGTATTCAGTAAAAATGGTGAACAGTTCACACCAAAAACAACTCTATAAAGTATGTACTCTACTGGCTTCACCTCATCTTCATGTATGTTGCCCACTCAAAGAAACCTCAAACAATCTCTGTCACACGGATCAATTTCAATATTTAAACTGAAAGCCTTCTCTATATCTGCTACAAGCGCTTTTCGCTTTTCTCTATGTGATACAACAACGGGGATAGAGGTGGCCCAACATGAAAGCAGTAATTTAAAGATACACCCTTCTTAGTCTCTTTACTCGATGCATCATACACAACCCTGACCTTAGTGGTCTTTGCATCTTTACGAACCACAGCATGATGTGGTAGATAATGGATATTATCAGCTCTCTCTAGCTCTACAACTGGTTCTATAATACCTACCTCTAACTGTTCTTTAATTACTCTGTCATACTCTTGTAAAACTTCTGGCTCCTTCTGTAATCTTAAAAGCTGTCCCTTTAATCTCTGCACACTACAGCTATATTAGTTGGCAATAAACTATGCCCTTCCTTCCAAGGTAAACTTACACTATATCGTTGGCCATTGAAATGTATTGAATCATTTAATAATTCACTATCTTCCTCTTCATGCTTTATACCTAGCGTTTCATAATCCCATAATTTTTCAACACATGCTTCAAGATACCTATTCTTTGACGAAGTTACATGCCCAATAAGGTTTACACTTACCTGTGCACACGATGTAGGATCATCATCATCTTCAGAGCTACTCTTCAGTGGACCTGACAACACCATCCTAATTTGGTTTGTACCGCAACAGGTTCATCACTCTTGCCCCTAACCGTACGCCCTTCTTGAAATAACCACAAATAATCTGCGCCAATTAGTAACTCTATTTCTAACACATCCTTGGTCTTACAAACATCGGAAAATCATAATCCTTGCAAATGTGGGTAATCTTTCTTCCTTGTCTCTACATGCTCATTCCTAATCTGTGAAATGCTGTCTACTCCATAAACTTCAATGTTAACACTCTCTCCCCCCTGTACTGTGGCTACGCCCAATTCAAACACTTCTCTCAACTTCCCTTCAACTTTCTCCTGTCCGAACGTTCTATTTTCCACCTATTCCTTCCTCTTTACTGGCGCTCCTGCCTTCTGAGCTACCTTGCCCTTAACGAATGACCGTTGACTTCCTGAGTCAAACATAACCTGCACTCTCACATTCTCCTTTCCTCCCATTACCAAAGCCTGCGCTGTCTGCAATGCTACTCTATTTGCTGACCCAACGCACGAATGTGTAGAATGAACGACGTCAGCGGTTACAGACCCATTAGCAAATAGAACTATGATGTCGTTTACTGCATGCATTACATTTACTCGTATTTAAACAATTACTACTAATATGCCCTCTTTTTAAAAATATAAAACACCTTCCGTACTTACGAAGTATGCTGTTTACGCTGGCCAGCATCCTGAATTTTCTTACAATCTTGTGATTAATGTTCTTGTAAACAATATACGCATTCTTGGCTTCCCTTCCCTGGTGGTATGATTCACAAGAGCAGCCGCCAATCCATCTAGAAACTGTGGTTTCCTTCGTTCTTGTTTTGACGTGTTCGTCGTAGATGATTTGTGTGCTTCGCGTAATTCAATTTCACTCTAGAAGTGCCTTTAAAATATCCTGTATCGTCCAATTTTGAACGTCTGATTCACTTGTCCCACGAGTTATCGTCAAACGAAGGGATTCTGGCAGCTTGTCGAGTATTTTCGGAACAACAATCGTGGCATACGAACTTTCACCCACTCCCAGGGTTTTCAGACCTCGGCAGTTTGTCTCACAGGTATGGTACAATTCCCGTACATCTCGCTCATTACATATTGGCTTTATGTTCATCAACGCTTGAATATGGACTCTCTGTATTGCCGTTTTCTTCCCATATCGTGTCGTTAGTAGTTTTAATGCTTCTTTATAGTTCGCTGCTGTTAACGTGAACCCTGCGATAGTTGTCTGCGCGGGACCAACCAGTAGACCTTTCAAATACGCGAATTTATCTACCTCTGATAGAGCGTCATTCTGATTCACAGAGCTATCAAAGGTGTCCCAAAATTCTTGTCAATCTTGAATTTTCCCATTAAATCTTTTCACCTCTAACTTTGGGAGCTTTGCGGGAACAGTCTGTTTGGGTGTAGCGTTCATACTCAGATTCGATGGTGTACCTTGTCCTTGTGGTAGTGACGGCAAGGCTTCGAACAATGCGTCATTTGCGTCGAGAATTATTTTTTGTAATTCAGCTCGCGTATCATCTGTCTCCTGAATTTCCTTTTCCAGCTGTTGTTCTGCGTCTCCGGCTTCACTATTACTTAGTACCTCAACAATCTCGTTGTCTAAAAGTTTCAAGGCTTCGAGTTTCTCGCTCAGCGTGTCTTTCAGCTGTTTGAGCACATTCGTGTCCGTCTGAGGCGTTTCACTCGCATTCGCTAAACATCCCTTTATCTTCGTTCCTATCTTCGTTGCCTAACTCTGTGCGCTGCGCGTCTTCTTCTTTTCTTTGTCAGCTCGTCCAACGGCATTGTCGTATCTATCTATCTATCTATCTATCTATCTATCTCGATTCTTTCTTTCGTAATCTATCCGGTTCGCATGCGGACCAAGTCCAAGTGTTGCACTTTTCTGTCTTACACCGCAAGACAGTTGCGCTTCGACGGGACTGTATACTATCACAACAATACCATCGGATATAGAACACACACGCGTACTTTAAAACATATTTATTTAAACTACTCAAACGATAAAATATATAACATAACAATCCTTCTGGTTTTCTCTCGTGCGTTCAAGTCTGGCAATCAACTCGAAGTATACTATTTGGTCTCCTACGGCGTTACCAATAGTATAATGTTGCAAATCATTCTACACATACTCCAATCAATATACTAAAACCCATGGCGAAGGTTGCTTCGATGCTGTCTCAAAAGTTGATCATGTACATGTTTCTGTTTGCTCTGTTTGCTTATTTTTATACCTGGAAAAACTATAACAGCTTAGAAAATAGTGTGGTTGGATTAAATGAGGGAATAAGCATTATGAAGATTCAAATAAAGAGCTATTATTCGACCAAGGTGAGAGGTGATGTCGAAGTTAATTATCTAAGTAAGAAACCATTAAGTACTAAAGTGTGCGAATGATTAAATTACCAAGCCAGTTGATTATTTAACGCCTTGCTGCTTTCAAATGATGTTGCAGTAAACCCTTGACCTATGAATGTGAAATCAATAAAGGGATTAAAGTTTCTCCACTTGAATAGTATATGCAGTTTGAGAAACGAAGTGGACGAGTTAAAACTAATGTGTGATGAATACAAGCCGCATGTTGTGTATTTAAATGAGACTTGGCTCGATCGATCTTTTGATAACAGCGAAATAGGTATTCAAGGATACAACATAATACGACAGGACAGGGATAGATTTGGTGGTGGTTTGGCAGTTTAGGCTACATCTTAGAATATATGACTTATAGGCAGATTGACTATGACTTTAATTTAACGATAGCGTGCAATTAGATGCAAATTTCGAAGCTATATGGATTGAACTAATGCCAACCAAGACCAAAACCATTAAAGCCGGGTTTGTTTACAGGCCAACGGATTTAGACCCCAAGGTTTTTACGCAGAACATATAATATATTCTGTCAAGGTCTGCTGATTGTCAGCACGAAACTATCTTGATGGGTGACTTTAACTTTGACTTACGAGCAGGTACTTTAAATTCAATGAATGCACAAACCAGAAGTTTCTTGAATACAACTAAATTGTATAATCTGAAACAGATAATCGACGAGTGCACAAGAATTACGGAACATTCTAGAACACTGATTGACTTATTTTTTTACCTCATGACCAGAATTATATTCTTCAAAAGTTATTGCTATAGGATTTTCTGATCATTGTGCAATACTCTCGGCCAGAAAATTACATCAATTTAAACGAGCACCACCCAAATATATCGAAGCTAGAAACTGTAAATTATTCAACAGCGAGTTGTTTAATCAGGATTTGAATCGAATTCCTTGGAATATACTAGAGTTTGAAACTGATCCTGATGATGTGTGGACTTGTTTTAAAGATTTAATTTATTTTTGACTGTGGCAGATAAACATGCACCCGTTGTAACGCGTCGTATACGAGGAGAATCCCACCCATGGTTAACAAATGAAATAAATTATTTGATACATCAAAGAGATTAACGTCATAAGAAATTAACGATAAAAACAGATAATATTTATCATTGGAATATGTACAAAAGATTGAGAAATGCAGTGACCGGTAAATGAGAAAAGCAAAGAGTTGTTATTATGTAAATGAACTGACAGAATCGAAGGATACTAAGGGAGCGTTTCTTTTGTAAATATAGCTTTCGATTTTTAGGATTCGGATTTTTTGGATTCGTTAAACAAATGGAACGAATTGTGAGAATCGGAATTCGCCTGCCGTTTTCCAGCCAAGTTTTCTGTCCCACTATACCTTTCGGTCGGGTCAAGGTACATGCTAGAAGGCCAAAAGCTTAAAAGGAACGTTGAATCCTAATCGAGTTTCAGATTGAATCCGAAAAATCCATATATTGAGGTGGATTCAACAAATTCGAATCTATTTTAAGATTTTGTTAAATGAAACTGAAAATCGATAATCGGATTTGAAGATCCAAATCCGGATTGCACTAAAGGAACGCACCCAAAGAGTATGTGGAAAGTTTTAAATAGGATTCTCCCAAGCAAGAAAAAGAACTATGATGGAAATGCAACAAATACCATGCATTTACAATGGAAATATTTAATCAGTTCTTTACTTCAATAGTAAATCAGCTATGCAATTTCAGAGTTTCTCTCCCAAGGGTGATGAGCCCAAGGGTTACGGAAAATTTCTCACTAAGTAATGAGGCTGTATCCTATGTGTATTCTGAACTTGTAAAGATCTCTCCAAATAAAGCTACAGGTTTGGATAATATCCCATCGCGACTGCTGACAGAATCAGCTAAACGATTGCAGAACATTAACATATCTCATTAACCTAATCCTGCAAAGAGTGCACGGAAACAAGCCAAGGTCATCCCCGTGCACAAATCAGGAAAACGCGATAATCTAAACAATTATCGCCCAATATCAGTGCCTCCAGTCCTATCGAAGATAATGGAAAGAGCAGTTCAAATTCCACTAGTCAATTTTCTTATAAATTAAAATAGTGTGTTATCCCAATTTCAATCTGGCTTTCGAAAGAAGTACTCGACGGAAACGGCAATAGTTTATTTATCTGATAGAATTATAGAACATATGGACAGGCAGCGTTCGTGTGGGGCTTGCTTTCATTGACCTCAAGAAGGCCTTTGATTTGGTAGACCACAAATACTTACTACATAAACTTGAACATTATGGAGTAAGGGGTAATTCATTAAAGTGGTTTAAAGATTACATCACTACTAGAACGCAAAGGGTTAAGTATGACAACAAATTATCTGGTGGAACTGAAATCAATTATGGTGTTCCACAAGGTTCTATTTTGGACCTCTTTTGCTTTGTATTACACATTAACGATCTACCAGAATGCATAACAAAGTTTGACATACATTTGTATGCGAATGATGCCGTAATTTATTACGCAGACACGACTGCAAGGGAAGTAGAAATAACACTGCAGAACGACATAGATAAAGTTTCGGATTGGTTGGAAGAAAATAAACTACTGCTAAATCAAAAGAAAACGAAGGTGATATTGTTTGGTACGAAACCAAAACTTAATAAAGTTATAAACGTTTAGTATCCTGCACAAGGGACAAGAAATTGAGCGTGTCGTAAAGTTTAAATATCTGGGTATCATCTTCGATCAATGTATGACATGGAGGAGAGCACGTGGAATCAGCTGGAAGGGAAGTAATGAAACGATTAGGATTGTTATCTCGAATTAGAAACTCTCTAACACTTCGGGCAGCAAAATGTGTCTATAACACTATCATACAACCAATATTTGACTATGCTGAAATAAGTTGGGGAGCGATGTTACAAACGTGCAATACTGAAATGCAAAGACTTCAAAATAGAGCGGCATGTATTGTTGTTAAAAGTAATCGAACAGAAAATTGCTTCCCTTCGCTCAAGTGGCTCCATCTTTCGACAAGGAGAAAAGTTCATAGCTGTATTTTAATTTTTAAAATTCTAAATGGTATTGCACCAACTTATCTTGATAATTATTTTGTCAAAAACGATAATATTCATAATTTCAATACAAGACGTAAGGAAAATTTTGTATTACCCAGAGTAAATAGGGAACTTGGTAAGAAAACGGTTAGGTTTCAAGGGGCAAAAGACTATAATGAGCTACCAACTAAAATTAAGAAATCTCTAACTTTAGCTAGTTTTAAAAGTAGAATTAAACAACATTCTATATCTGAACTGTAAATATGTTGGAATTAATTTGGATTAGACATAGGATTGCATAATTTGTGTACTTATAGCTAATAATATGCAGGGCCCCTATGGATACCAGCTTAACAGCTGAATGGGCTACTCTGCTTAAATGAAGTCACAACAACAACAACAACAACAACAACAACAACAACAACAACAACAACAACAACAACAACAACAACAACAACAACAACAACAACAACAACAACAACAACAACAACAACAACAACAACAACAACAACAACAAAGATCAATCCGGATTTCGAAGCGAATTTGACACAGAAACTGCTGTTGCATTTATCGTTGACTCTCTTTTACTCAACCTGGATAAAAATCTCATTAATGGCTTTGATATGGTTGATCACTGTATCCTGCTTGACAAACTTGGAGTACACCATCTTGATCAGAGCTCGCTTGATTGGTTTAAATCCTATCTATATCAGACCGTAAACAATATGTTAACTTCAAAGGCCAGTCAGCTGCTGTAGTATTTGTAGGATGCGATAAGTTAATAATTAACTTCTAAGCATGTAAAAAACGTTGATTGACATTTGTAATAAATCATTATTCAGTCTATTCTACAATGTCGACGAGGATGTAAAAATAAACAGCGTGAAAAATATAACAGAAAACTAGAATGGCGGCACAAAACATATAGCCTATGCCTGCTTTTGAACCAAGGAGTGATCCTACAAGTACAAGTACAAGTGCGAGATGGACACGGTGGCTGGAGACATTCAACACATATTTACTTGCAGCAGATATTAATGACGATGCGAGAAAGCGAGCTTTATTATTGTATCAGGCGGGGTCCGAAGTACACGAATTTTTCAAGACTCTATAAGAGGGCGAAACCAAAGATTTTAAGTCAGCAGTGAAAGCGTTGACGGAGTATTTTGAACCAGAGAAAAACGTGATATATCGCACCTATGTTTTTAGACAAGCGACGCAAGGAAAAGAGGAATCAATCTACGAATTTCATACGCGTTTACGAGGCTTGGCAAAAAACTGCGAATTTACAAACATAGATTTTGAAATTAAGATGCAGATTGTAAGTTGTAAGCCACAAATTGACATTTGACTATGAGTATTGCATGGTCATTTTCTTGTGAAATATCAGTGCTAGACATTTCACACTTACCAATGGCCACCCCTAAAAACACCATCTCTCAACCATATAAGCACCTCAGAATAGCCAAACCTTGTATGGTTTGGTAGATAGCACTATGGCGAAAGCGTCGTTTTTGGGTGTGGTCGGTTTCGGACGTTTCGTCCCGGATTGGGGTTCGGGCAGCGTTACCATGTTGACCGTCATGGTCAACTTACCCTAAAACAGTTGAGATTATCTGTCCTAAATGAAATGCATACAAACTCATATACAGGTCCTAGACTATAAAGTACTCGATTAAAAGTTTCAATAATTAAAAAATTGAACATTTGGTTCCAAATTTTTTTTAAAAAGAATTTTGAAGAAAATTGAAGAGTGTCGGCACTAGCTTAGGTTCTAAGCTTTTTAGAAATATATAATTCATTTGGACAAAGTTGGGGATATAAGACAGAGTGACGTGACGCGCCGTTGCGCGCGAAGGCGCAAGCCAAAGGGCTCCGCATTTAATACAGATTTATTTCCGCTGTATTTGCGAGATCTGGACGCAAAATTACACTTAATTCAAGATAAAGTGAAGATTTACCTGTATAAAGTTAAGAGCTGTTAATCAGGTACATGATAAAGTATATTTTTGCGAATATAAATTGTTTTAAATTACAATTTGTGAGAAAGTTTTGTTGAAACAGTTTAAATTGATCACATCACGCAAGGAAACGACGCACGTAAGGTGCATGCGACATCACTTACGTCAGCGCGAGAACGTTTTCATTCTAATCTGTACGTGCAAGCTCAATTAGAATCCACTAACTTTGAAAATTGGAAATCTTGCGGGTTATTACATTTATTTGAATATTTTCAACGTTATGAAGAATTATCGAAGATTTGCGTGTATTTTCAACTATATAAGAGACGGTGTAAAATGCTTCATGCTTTGTGTGTTCATTCTTTGGTTGTGTTCTAAATCAAAACCTTATAATCCTCCTCGCAGAAATGCTAAAGACATAGTTATCAACTCAGAACTTGCAGTTCTACCGGAAAAAATATGTATAATTTGGACTGCTGCTCGTGATCTCAAGCAAAGGAAGTTTTACTATCCGCTGAACTACCGTTACGGGCTAAATCTTCAAGTGAATCAAAAGCTATCTCACGTTGTCTTATTAATTTTGCTCGCTGGTGATGTAGCAACTAATCCTGGCCCAGCGTATTATTCAGCTTCAACGAACAGTGCTTCAAGAAAGCAAGTTAAGTGCTCAAGACCTGTCTATAATGGAAACATCCGAAGAAAAACCGTTAAACGTAAACCGTTAGAAAACTCGATGTACTTTCTTCTTGGATCAAGATTGTTTATAAACACTTCTGTTGCTATCAATCTTCTACGTTTATCTGGTGATATTGAAAGTAATCCTGTTCCTGTGTTTGAAATCCCTGGTTGTTTAAAGTAAGTCATCTTAATGTACGAAGTTTACTTCCAAAGATTGATTTGATACGCTTGTTTATCAGCAAGAATCCATTTGACGTTTTTACCCTTTCTGAAACTTGGCTTAAACCTTCAATCACTAATGCTGAAATCAACATACCTAACTATCTAATCACTCGTCAAGATCGGAAAGATAAAGCTGGTGGTGGGACAGCTATTTATGTTAGGGAAGGTTTACCTTACCGAACTCCAAATGACTTATGCAGTGAATCTATCGAAACATGTTGGATTGAAATTATACGACCTCGTACGAAATCAATGTTTGTTTGTTCAGTCTATAGACCACCTGAATTTCCACTAAATCATTTTATTGAGGAGTTAAACCAAAATATTGTCAAAATTCCGGATAACGCAGAAATTATATTATTGGGTGATTTCAATGTCGACTACAAACAACGCTCAGCGGTCAGATCACGCATGCAAATACTAGCGCGTGCTCATTCACTCGAATAGATCATTGCGTCACCAACAAGGATCACTGAAAACACGCAATCAATGATAGATTTAATCTTCGTAAACAATCAGCCACGCGTTGTTTCAAGCAGAATTTACCCGTTATCGATCAGTGATCATTCACTTATTTATTGCTCGATTAAAGCAGGAGTCCAAAAATCAGGCGGATGTCATCGAGACATTAATTACCGTTGTTGTAAGCATTACGACAAAAGCACTTTTGTTGATGATTTAGAAAAATCTGATTCGACTTTCGTGGATTCGTTAGACGACATTAATGAAATCGTAAATAAATGGTGCGACACATTTTCTGAATCAGCCAATAGACATGCCCCAATTAAAACCAAAAGAGTAAAAACGACTGTGAAAGCGCCATGGATGACTTCTGAACTTCTTGAACTTATGCGTGAACGTGATTTCCATTTAAAACATGGCCAAAAATCTAACTCCGACAACCACTGGAACACCTACCGCGAACTGAGAAATTCCATAAACCAACAAGTTAAGATATGTAAATCCAACTACTACCAAAATCTCATCACTAATAATAAAGATAATCCTGGTGAACTTTGGAAAACCATCAACGAACCACGATCTATAGCAACAATCATGAACGACTATTTCACGTCTATAGGGTCTAAACTTGCGAATAAAATAAATTATCAATTCAAACCAAAGTTACGTGCGTCTACCACTACCTTTCCCCATTCATTCCAGTTCGAAGAAGTCGACGAATTAATTGTGTTTCAGGAACTGAGCAAACTAAAAACCAACAAGGCTACTGGCCTAGATGGGATTAGTGCTAAACTGCTTAAAGTCACCGTTTGCGTTATTGCACCAACTCTCACAAAGATCTTTAATCTCTCGCTACGCTGTGGTTCATTTCCCGACATCTGGAAGAAAGGTAAAGTTACCCCCATTTACAAATCTGGCGATCCAACTTCATCGAACAACTATAGACCAATCACCATTCTACCGACTTTGAACAAATTATTAGAACGTATAGTCAACCGTCAAATTTACAATTATCTACAAGAGCATAAGTTATTGGCTTCTGAACAATTCGGTTTTCGCCCCAAACTCTCCACCACTGTTGCCCTTGCTCACTTTACTGAACAAGTGCTCGTTAACCTCGATAACAAAAAGATTACGGGCGCCGTTTCCATTGACCTACGAAAAACATTCGACACGGTAGATCACATTCTTGCAGGAAAAATTAAAATCGATTGGAATCTCTACCTCTGTTCTTGTATGGTTTACATCATATCTATCGAATCGCACTCAAGTAACAACCATCAACAATTCAATGTCCACTCCTAGTTACTGTTGGTGTTCCGCAGGGAAGTATTCTCGGACCTTTTCTCTTCCTAATTTACATTAATGACCTACCTGAATGCCTCAAACATTGCAAGTCGATACTCTATGCTGATGACAGCCTAGACTTAGGCCTTCTAGTCTTATTTATATTTTTTCATATTCAGCGCTTTTTCACATGAAAATACTGGGACTAGGTGATTTGGGGGCGGGGCGGAGGAACCAAGCCTAGAAGGCCTAGTGGATTTCCCAACAACAAGGCCAAAACTGCCCTGAAACTGCCCTGGTTGCGAAATGCCCAATTATTGCGTTCTCAAACAGAATTATTTGCAACTTAACGGCGAATTTAAACCGATACAGGTAAAATAAACTCATTTATAGTATAAACTTACTATTTTTATTTGTACACACGTCTAGAAAATCGGGGTTTTTATCATAAAGTTCGAAGCAACACTATTATTTAATATATTGACATTTTATACTTGACAAGGTGTAGCGAAAGCACAAAATGAGTCAAAATATATACCAAAAGTAGAATCTTTCATGAAATTTTGTCTTATCACACAACTACATTAATATATATTTTCTCAATTTTGGCAAGAAGCAGTCTTGTGTTTGTAAAATATACAAACACATATGCAATTATAATTTATTAAATAAAACGGACACATATATTATTAGCCCGTACAGTACTGTATATAAAAACGTACATTGTTTACAAATGGTATATCCGTAATATTTGAACAATAATTTCAAATTCCTCATTCCCAAATATAGTTATTCAAAGCAAAACAGTAGATTGTCTTGCGAATAAAAGAATTATTAGTTTGTGCTTTCGCTTCACCTTGTCAACATAATAATAGTGTTGCTTCAAACTTTATGATAAAAACCCGATTTTCTAGACGTGTATACAAATAAAAATAGTAAGTTTTACTCTAAATGAGTTTATTTTACCTGTATCGGTTTAAATTCGCTGTTAAGTCGCAAATAATTCTGTTTGAGAACGCAACAACTGGGCATTTCGCAATCAGGGCAATTTCAGGGCAGTTTTGGCCTTGTTGTTGGGAAATCCACTAGACCTTCTATTTTTTCGCTTGCGTCTGGCTTGTATCCTTCCTCCGCCCCGCCCCCAAATCACCTAGTCCCAGTCTTTTCATGCGAAAAAGCGCTGAATATTAAAAAAATATCAATAAAAATAGAAGGCCTAGGTCTAGGCTGTGCTGATGATACACTTCTATGTTATTCTACGTTTACGGTTTACAAAAATGTTTAATATTTCAAAATGAATATAATAAAGTGGAAATTGAACTTCATGTCGTGGAATTTTGGACGGAAATCAAACTTGGGAATACAAATCGCTTCGCGGTCGTGCGATTTTGTAATTACGCGTTTTGATTTCAGTCCAAATTGCACTCCACTCAGTTCAATAACCATTATAACTGACATAAATTAGTTAGTCCCATCGTATCCGTACAGGATGTCTATACGTGTGCAGACACAATAATAGTAGTTTAGCCAATAAACAAAAGTGAAGTGCTCACTGCAACATGAAAACATTTATTGCCTTACTGTAATTAAACATTTATTGCCTCGCAAGTTTATATAAACTACGAATTACCAAGATTGTGTTAAAACAAACAATGTAAAATGGAAGAAATGAATACACAACAGGAAACAGGATATGCTGCTGAAACCGTTTAATGGGTTCGTTAAATTTTAAACTCATTTACACTATAGAGACTTGTCATGAAGTAAAAATGGTGTATAAATCTTGTTGATTTTTCTTTCGTCGCCATATAACAACACTAACTATATTGAGACTCTCGGGAAAACAAAACAAACTATTTCTTTCGGGAACAGAGATTAAGTGCATAATATTATTGATCAATCTGTATAGATGTAGATGAATGTTCCGAAATTTGGACAACTGCGCCAGCCGGGGTTCTCAATGTATCAACACTATTGGGAGTTTTTCGTGCAGATGCAACAATGGTTATACCGGAAATGGCATGACTTGCACTGGTAAGGTGATCCAATCTTGTAACTCAATGCTGCAATGACTTCGTGCTCTATTCTTCACTTCTTGTGTTTCTTTTTAGACATCAATGAATGTACCCTATCTATTGACAACTGTCCCCAAAACAGAAGATGCATCAACACTGTTGGATCGTTTCGTTGCAATTGTGATAGTGGATATTCCTGGAATAGGACGGTTTGCGAAGGTACAATATTACAATATACAATCTAAAGCCCCGTTTACACTACGCTCAATTTTTGGTACGGTACGGATAAAATTGGTACCCGTACAACTTTTTTGGTTCTTGGTTTTGGATTTCTGGGTTTCTTTTAGATTTTGAGGCTTTTGATTTTTAAATTTTAGATTTTATTCTATTCAAAGATAGTAAGTTGGAAATATTGCGGCAATCAGTACACTGTACTTATAGTATTAAAGTATACTGCCGTATATTCATCGTCATTAAAATAGACATTTAGTCCAGTAACTGAATAGAATAAATATTGAATACGAATTACAAAATAGTGATTTAGACTATTAGTGTTGTTACACAGAGCTATTAGATGTATAACTGACCGCAAACTGTAGTGTGTACGATAATATATAATTATTTGTTACCCCCGTAATACTAAAGCACCAGATCGGTTTTCTTTTACGAGATCTATATCAAGGCCTATTGTACCCTATTGTATTAGATGCAGCTGCATGCATGCAGCAAAGTGTAGTGTATACGATATTATAATATAAGTGGGATATATATAACAGGCAATTTGATTGGCTAAAGCGCGTGCATTGTGACGCAATAATGCACTGTGTTCCGTGGCACTGCCTTGCTCTTTCCGTGTTTTTCGTGCCCTGAACCATCACATCACACTGTGGGACATCTGAAAAACAAATCTACGTGTAAAAACAGTGTAAAAATTAACCCGCTTGGCATTTGTTTTTGTTTCGAAAAGAAAAAACGTGCAAAATAGTCTGAACAAAGAAACAGCGTGCAAACTGGAAAAAATACATGTAGGGATACCATAAACATAGTAAAAGGCAATGAAAACTGAACATAAGTGATTTAGAAAGTTCTTATACAGTATAAGTAGAAGATATTACATGGTAAATAAATAAACAATTTTACTCAAAACGCAAACAACGAATCTGTGCCTAAAGCTTTTTGCAGCGATTGGAGTCAGTGATTGTACAATCCAGGACATTGATATTGCTCATCGTCTGCCCGCTCGAAATCCTTCGAGTCGACCTAACGCTATAGTGTGTAAATTTACCCGAATAATTGTAAAGGAACGAATCATGGCTGCAAGAAAGCAAATATCGAATGTCTCAGCAAATCAGCTAGATCTTCCAGGCAGTGCGCCATTGAATAGATTAAGCATCTACGACCATCTAACACCGAAGCAACAAAACGTATTTTACGAGGCGAAGAAGTACAGGGAAGTAAAGCAATATAAATACTGTTGGATGAAACAGGGCGTCATTTTTCTTCGCAAGAATGATAGTTCTACAGTCATAAAGTTAAACAAGCTAGAAGATCTTACATCTCTACAATAAGCTAAGTTTATTACTTGTTCAATATTTATTAACCGTGTGCAATCATGGCGTTGGACGAAAGCTACGATAGCACGATACTGCCTTTTAATCAGCTTGATGATACTGCTTTTAATATTGCACTCTACGAAATGTCTCATGGTCCTTTAAATTATGATACTGATCGCTTACAATCTTTATTATATAACCCTGTTGAACAACAAATATCAATTACTAAATACTCTTGATCCAGATATGAATCTGATAAATTCACCATCAGCCAGTGAATATATGGTTGAAGATGAATTTAATAATCTAAGTAATGTTAATTGTCTTGATTCATCCTTTTGTATTATGCAAATTAATATTCGTAGTTTAATTGGAAATTTTGATAACTTTAAATCTATGCTTGCGCAATTGCATAAATCATTTTCTGTAATTGGTTTAGTTGAGACGTGGTTGAAAGACCAAACACTTGAGCTTGTAAATATTCCAGGTTATAATTTCGTGTCTAATCATCGCAGAGATAAAACCGGCGGCGGAACTGGACTTTATATACAAGACAATTTAGAATACAAATTATGTTCTGATTGCATAATTTCTGATCCCGACACAATTGAGTCTCTATTTGTCGAAATTCAAGTCCCTAATGGGAAGAATATAATTGTTGGAACAATTTATCGTCCACCTAACCAAAATCTAGAAGCATTTTTGGACAAATTCAATAGCATTATGTCTATTATTTCTAAGGACAATAAGCATTGTTATCTAATGGGAGATTTCAATTTAGATCTCTTACACTATGAAAAACATATACCAACACAAGAATTTATGAATTCGTTATTTTCACATTTGTTTTACCCACTCATTAACAGACCGACGCGTTTGACTTCACATTCAGCAACATTGATCGACAACATATTTACAAATTGCTTTGCACAGAGCGTTTGTAACTGCATTCTCTTAAACGATATCTCTGATCACTTACCTATAATTGCTGTTTTTGCTGATGAGCAAATTCCTAACAAAACCCCAGAAGAAGTAGCCTTTCGAGATTTTAATGACGCTAATCAAGAAACGTTTATGAGATGTCTTGATCGGGTAGATTGGTTTAATATATTGAATGACAACGAAGATCCTAATGAATTGTTCGCAAATTTCCTATCTGAATATACTAAACACTATGAAACTTGTTTCCCGTTCAAAAGGGTCAAAAGAAATAATCAGATACCTAAAACACCCTTGGATAAGCAGAGGTCTGCTGGTGTCTGTCAGGGTAAAAAAAAGGTTATATAGGGAATTTGTTAATAAGCAAAATACGGTGAGTAATGAAAGATACAAGGCATATAAGAATAAATTAAATCATTTAATAAGAATAGCTAAGCGAAATTATTATGATGATAAATTCACTAGTGTCAGGAACAACATCAAAGACACTTGGAAACTAATAAATGAAGTAATAAATAATAAGAAAATGAAACGAACACTCCCATCACAATTTAAAATTGATGGCAGGATCGTTTCTGATCCGAATGAAATCGCCGACAAATTTTGCAAATATTTTACCAATACTGGAATCAATCTGGAAAACAAAATACCTTCAATTAGTACATCGTTTAGAACATCCTTAGGTACAAGTATTACAGAAACGATTTGGTTAAAACCTGCGACTCTGCCAGAACTTGAACAGACCTGTATGATGTTTAAATCTGGTAAAGCGCGCCGGGTTTCGACAATATACCCATGCATATTATTAAGAGTTCTTTTAAGCACATATCGAACCCCTTACTGCATCTTATTAATCTTTCCTTCAGCAAAGGAGTATTTCCAGACCAATTAAAAATAGCTAAACTAATCCCGGTGTTCAAAGCAGATGACCCCGAACTGTTCAGTAACTATAGACCTATATCACTTTTGACCAATTTCTCAAAATTTTTTGAGAAAATAATGCATAACCGCTTAGTTATCTTTGCTGAACGATTCAATATATTTTACGACAATCAATTTGGATTCCGGAGAGGTCACTCAACCAGCCATGCTCTTGTTCACTTGATTAACAATATAGCATCAGCAATTGACCACAATGAAGCCACTGCTGGAGTGTTCTTAGACTTATCTAAAGCATTTGATACTTTAAATCATGAAATTTTATTTTCTAAACTTGAGCATTATGGCATTCGGGGACTGGCACTAAAATGGATAAAAAGTTACTTTCTTCACCGCAAACAGTTTGTACAATATACCAATGTTTCCTCATCTCTACAAACTATCAAATGTGGTGTGCCGCAAGGTTCCATATTAGGACCGTTATTTTTTATCTTTTATATTAATGATCTGCCCAATGTTTCAGATATAGTTGAAACTATTTTGTTTGCAGATGATACCAGTCTTTTTTATTCTCATTCCAATATTCAACAATTGAATGATACTTTAAACAATGAATTGCCGAAATTTGACTGTTGGATGAAGGCGAATAAACTCTCTGTTAATATAGAGAAAACCAATTACGTGGTTTTCAAATCAAAACAGAAAAGAATCAATACTGATCTGTCACTTTCCTTTAATGGTCAAGCACTTAAAAAAGTACATGTCGTTAAATTCTTAGGAGTATTTATTGATGAAAATTTATCATGGACAGAACATATTACTTATATTTGTAAAAAGATCTCTAAATCAGTAGGAATAATTTACCGATCTCGCTTTTGTTTGTCGACCAATACAAAGTTAATGTTGTATTATACTTTAATCTATCCCTATCTAACTTATTGTAATATTTCCTGGGGTTCTACCTATCCCACTAACTTGAATAAGCTACTTCTGATGCAAAAACGCGCTGTGCGGGCAATTACAAACGCATGTTATCGTGCACATACAAAACCGCTCTTTTCGCAGTTAAAATTACTGGATATTTACCAAATAAATACATTTTATACCGCTAAATTCATGTTTCTATATCATAACCATTTATTACCATCTTTATTTCACATGATATTTACTACAGGTAGTCAAATGTATATATATAACACAAGACATGCGGCTGATTATCGAACTCACGCTTGCAGAACAAATATTAAACAGTTCACTATTCTATTTCAAGGACCAAAACTGTGGAATTCATTACCAAAAAATATTATTAACCAAGTTACTCCTCGTTGTTTCAGGAACAGAATGCTAGAGCATCTATTATATTAATTATCTCAGCTACTAAGTTAAGCACATCTATATTTTAGTCCTATATCCAATAATCCAATAATAAGTTCTTTGAATGTTTGCATGGCGATAAAATATAATTGTTTTTGTTTGTGGAAACACCACGTAAATTTATTACTGCAAAGCTTTCGATCCGTAAGCCCGGATCTTCATCAGCACGGAAGCCCGGATCTTCTTCTTCGGATATTATTAGCACTGATGAAGATCCGGGCTTACGGATCGGAAGCTTTGCAGTAATAAATTTACGTGGTGTTTCCACAAACAAAAACAATTAATCCAATAATAATATTACTTATTATATAATCTTCTTGCATCAAGAGGTGCATGCCTCCCTTGTACAAGCCTGGTGGTTTCTGGAGGTCTCCTCGCCATCCGATACAATTAATTATAGTTCCTTCCTTCTTGTATCTATTTTTTTCTTGTTTCTAATTGTATGTATGTATATATATATGGCAAATAAAATATTGTTATTATAATTTCCCGTTATATAATGATCATTTGCTGCGGGATGAGGGTACCTGAATATAATTGCTTGTCGTTTTTGAATTTCAATAAGCCTTCGCTAGTTATAGTGTGATATATTGACATTTATAGTTACATTGAAATAGATACTCGTAAATAGCAAGCCTGTTTGCAGGCTATTAGGCATGGACCTTCGGGCTTAATAATTAACTTGAAGACTAAGACTATTATTATTGTACATGTGTGTGTTCGGAGTAATACAATATATAAATTTACAGTGGTGGCAGCGGTGATTCTCGCTTTAAATTGTCGGAAATGACAGAAATAAAACAAGCCTGTTATGACGGTACGGGAGATGTAGATTTGTGGCTTATGAAAATGAAGTTCTATTGTTCTACAAAGAAATTTGAAGGTAAACAAGAAGCTCACGCCATAGCGAGTAAACTCGAGGGGGCGGCGTTTCTATGTATTGCGAGATTAGACGATGAACTTCAAGATGACCCAAAAGAAGTTAAAGCCGCTTTAAGGAAGGAATTCGACAAAGAATCGATCGACCATGAGAAAGCTGTCGACGAATTACGAGATTTAAGGCGAAAAGGCGGTGAAACACCAGCACAGTTAGCGTGGAGAATCGAAAAGTTGATGGCGAAGGCTTACCCGGAGGTATGCGCGTCAACACACGGATCGGCAAAGAAAACAAAGGAACAAATGTTACATGATACCTTTTTGGGAGCTATTGACAATGCAATGAGTTGAAAGATAAAGAGCGACAGTAAACATCGAGATTTAAATTTAACACAACTTTCTGAAGAATTAGATCGGCTCGAGTTAATTTATAAAACAACAGCGCCAAAAGTAAACCTCGAAGTAAACAATTTCAAAACGACAGGGGAAGCAGACGAAATATCGTTAAGAAAGATAATCAGAGAAGAGGTAGCAGCCGCCCTATCCAAAGAAAACGATGGAAGTCGGGAAACAGAGGACGAAACAAAACGTACGGTCGGATTCGTTGGAAAGAGAAATTTCCCGCCAAAACCTAGGAGTGGAAAAACCAGTAAAAATCAAGCGTGTTTCCACTGCCAGTCGCCTGAACATTTTCGGAAAGACTGTCCATTTAAAGATCTTTGTCAACGCTGCTGGCAAAAGGGCCATACAGCACCATCTTGCCATGCTCCAAGCCCTCGCCCTTCGCCGTCTTTAAACTCCAAGGCGGCTGGGTACAATCGTCAGCAAAAATAAATTCGTTCTCAGCCGCGAAGAAATTTATTACACTAACTGGTACAGTGGTTCAGTCTGGAAGCAGAGAGTTCAAGCATGAGTTTATTTGTGATTCTGGAGCAGAGGTTTCAGTTATTCCAACGGCGTTAGCACAAGAACATTACATGAAAATTCAACCAACTACACGTCACGTAGAGATGGCTAATGGGACACACGCAGAATGCAGAGGTGTGGTTCAAACATCAGTTACGGTAGGGACAAACAATTGTATATTGAGCTTTTTTGTGGTAAGTGGTGTTCAAAACGGGATTCTGGGCCTGGACTCTTTGGGAAAATTGGGTGTATCGTTGAACACAAGAAAAAAATTGGCAACAATAGATGGGGCCCAACCCGTGTTACAACCGGAAGTAGATACCCCTCAGGAAATACTAAAGTGTTGCCACATACGAGATGCGGAAAGTCGTGATATTAAGCCATTTGAAGAAATATTCATTTGGGGTAAATTGGAAGATAAGAATGAAAAATTTACTAGAGATTCGTATATCGAAGGTACGGAACATTTTCAGCAGAGAACTGGGCTTCTTACAGCCCCGATAAAGATTTCGGCAGAAATGATGAACGATGAAAATAAAATCCCCATATGCGTACTGAATAAATCAATCAGAGTTTATAGAGAACAAACTGCGGCCACAATTCAGGAACTGCCAAGTACCCACAACATAGTGACATATTTCAGAGTCAAGTATGGGGGAAAATAATCCATCATCACAATATGACCCGGTCCCAGAAGTATCAGTGGGTGAACAATTGACAACACAACAAAGACAAAACCTAGAAGTTTTAATTCGAAAAAATACACAAGTTTTCGACTACCCGGGAAACAGTGGGTACACCACAACAATAGAGCACACAATACCCACAGCCGTATCTAATCCAATTGTGTGCCACCCCAGACGACACAACCTGGGCTTAACACAAAAAATTAATGAAGCAGTAGGAAACCATGTAAAGTCGGGACATTTGACACCCTCTAAGTCCCCTTGGGCATTTCCAATTGTACCTGTATTGAAACCAGATAAAACAGTTCGATTGTGTGTAGACTACAGACCACTTAACAAAATTACCCAGAATGACCCATATCCAACTGGAAATTTGCAAGAGGTTCTAGACAATCTATCAGGTGCTAACTATTTTAGTGTTATTGACTTGGCCCAAGGTTATTTGCAGGTCCCACTGGCCAAGGAAGATCGACCAAAGACAGCGTTTCGATCACCTACTGGGTTTTGGGAATGGACAAGAATGCCATATGGTTTAAAAGGAAGTCCGGCAACTTTTTCCATACATGTCCAATATCACGATGCGACACGGATCGTGAATATAGTTCACGATCCGTAACACATGGTCAAACAATCACGATGCAACACCGATCGTGAATATAGTTCACGATCCGTAACACGTGGTCAAACAATCACGATGCAACACAGATCGTGAATATACTTCAGGATCCGTAACACATGGTAAAAAACCTCAAGCTGTGCATGTTTACCTCCAACAGTGCAACAAACACTAATCATGCAATTGATGCCCACTAAATCCGTACGATCCGTGCACATCGTGCGTATGGTGAAAATAAACAGATATTTTCATTCTTATTACTGTACATACGTTTACATTTTCATTTATCATGCAATGTGTTTTGTTATTACAATAGCTCATATAATAATAATAATAATTTATTCATATATGTTTACTGACATTTTCATATGTGTAGTGTGTATGCGTCGTTCTCCAAAAGGCGAAACTAAAAGGAATGAACATATATTTTCATTGTTATTACCTCATGTATATTATACATTCTAAATAATATATCAATGCATGTGTATGCCTCGTTCTCCAAAAAAGCACGAATAAACACACATTCTCATTGTTATATATAAGCTCCTATATATTAATATTATCAATGTGGCATTGACTAAATTATCAGTGTTATATATTAGCTACCTTATTTGCTTATGTCTACAGTCCTGATTTGTTTGTGGCTAGTGCGGTTTGCCTCGCATGCATTACATTTAAATATTGAAGCTCACTCAAGCGGGCCACTGGTATATATTCACCGACACCGCACTTGTCTAATTACTGGTTGTCTGGTAGGCTTTTTCTCATGTGATATCATCCAACAAAATCACTGGGAATCACTGTTTCTAAGTTAATAAGTTACGACACTAAGTCTAAGAATCACTGTTACGAATTTAAAACACTAAGAATCACTGTTTTAACTTTATAAGCTACGACGCAGTATCTGTCATTTAAAGGCGACAGTTTTATTGGCCCTTTTCATACTATAGACGCATTATGCGTGTCTATGGACTTCGGCAAGCATTTATTATTCGCCTGGTTGAGTGTGTCTTCAATATAAAGACGGACGCAACATGCTAGACGAACTATGTTCAATTTTTCGTCTGAGACCCACACCAGTCATAGCTCGTCTACGGCACGCATAATGGGTCTGGTGCCCGCGTCTTTATAATAACGACACGTAACAAAACTACATATAGGTTATTGATCTGATTATTTGTCCCGTCTTTATACAACACAAATTGAAATAGTGTACAGCTAGCACGTACAATAAGTCCACACGCATAATACGTTCCTCTAGCATAATATATAATTATATAAACACGGCTAATAGTTCACATCTAGTCATTTATTCAACGTTATCTCTAACCTATTCTAATTGTGTTTGGAACATGGTCATTCATGTTTATTCAGGTTATCAAAATCCTTGAATGGTGCACATGGTGCCAGAGGGTAGACCCCAAAACACTGACGATCCGTGCGGATGGTGCGCATGGTGAATTGGTTGACGGATGGTGAAAGTGATTCCACCATCCGTCAACCAATTCACCATGCGCACCATCCGCACGGATCGTCAGTGTTTTGGGGGTCTACCCTCTGGCACCATGTGCACCATTCACGGATCATGAAACCACTTCCACCATCCGTCAACCAATTCACCATGCGCACCATCCGTCAACCAATTCACCATGCGCACCATCCGCACGGATCGTCAGTGTTTTGGAGTCTACCCTCTGGCACCATGTACACCATTCACGGATCGTGAAACCTCTTCCACCATTCGTCAACCAATTCACCATGCGCACCATCCGCACGGATCGTCAGTGTTTTGGGGTCTACCCTCTGGCACCATGTGCACCATTCACGGATCGTGAAACCACTTCCACCATCGGTCAACCAATTCACGCGCACCATCCGCACGGATCGTCAGTGTTTTGGGGTCTACCCTCTGGCACCATGTGCACCATTCACGGATCGTGAAACCACTTCCACCATCCGTCAACCAATTCACCATGCGCACCATCTGCACGGATCGTCAGTGTTTTGGGGTCTACGCTCTGGCACCATGTGCACCATTCACGGATCGTGAAACCTCTTCCACCATCCGTCAACCAATTCACCATGCGCACCATCCGCACGGATCGTCAGTGTTTTGGGGTCTACCCTCTGGCATCATGTGCACCATTCACGGATCGTGAAACCCCTTCCACCATCCGTCAACCAATTCACCATGCGCACCATCCGCACGGATCGTCAGTGTTTTGGGGTCTACCCTCTGGCACCATGTGCACCATTCACGGATCGTGAAACCTCTTCCACTATCCGTCAACCAATTCACCATGCGCACCATCCGCACGGATCGTCAGTGTTTTGGGGTCTACCCTCTGGCACCATGTGCACCATTCACGGTTAAACTGATTATTGTATTCTTCACGATTAATTGGCCTTGGTTCGGTAGTGCTCCCATTGTTCGTTCGAGGATTAGTCGATTCTTGTATGACAAAAGAATTATCAACACCAGCACTGTCGGCATCTACATACTCAGTAAGCTCGTCCGATACGCAAGGTTGCTTTGGCAAAGCGGAAATATCAGAATCAGTCTTGTTTTTGTTCCCCAAATCTTGTAACTGAGAAGTTATATACGAGATAGAGGCCGATAGAGACTGGATTGCTTCGCCATTGATTTGTTGACCCAGTTTTAGATCTTCAATATCCGTATGCACATCATCACATAATTCATTTGATAGTTGAGTGTGGGCTGAGGCAAATACTTGTGAATTATTTGCATGATAATTACACATCCGTTTACATAACTCTCTCATGATTTCGGTCGCATTTTCTCCATTGATGGAAAGCAATCCCTTATTCTTTCTCCATAGTATAGTTGATGTATCACAACTAAACAACTTCCTATCACCTCCAGGCTGTTCCCAAGTTCCTTTGAGTTGTAAATCTTCACTTACAAACTGTTTTAGAGACTCATAAGTACCTGACCATGCAATGCATAGCTTATCGCTTAAGCTGGTTGCCATATTGTTCATTG